GAAGAAGTCAGGTTGACAGTATTTCCTATTAGTTATTTGGTCATCAGGCATGTTTTATGAGATGGTAATGATTAAAACAGAAAATTTTCATCAAATCATTCAGATTGATTTTTCCTTTGCTTCATTCTTGTACTACTGAAAACCAAGAGGTGATATCATGCAGAGAAATAATGGAATAGGACCCAATATTCTCCTCTTTTTAGATAATCCTATCCCTTGCTGGTGGTGAGACAGAAAGAACTTTCTTATTGAGATTAGATTTTATAGTTTAATAGGCTTTTTGTACAAAACAGAAATCTTGCTCACTTGATTTCCGTTATGAAGAAGGCTGTCCTTGCACTTCAGCTTTCTCTCCAAATCTTGAATCAGAGCTTCCTTTGATCCTTGGATTTCATGGTCAGGAGTCCTTGGTATGGGCTTAGCATTCGCACTTTGGGATGGCTTAGCATTTACAGGTTGGCCAAATGAAGGTTGTTGATAGCTTTAACAAGAATAAAACAAAGATCTTTAAGATGTGGGATATAAAAGAGAGTTGGCCTCATTTTGTCAGTTGCCTTTAGATAGGTTGAATTTACAACTTAATACTATTAGTGTTATTAAAAACACCAATTGCCCTAATGACAGTCAAGAAGGATTTTATAATAATGGTTACTAGCTTTTTTCTTTTCTTGGCAAATGAAAATTAAGTGGCAAGAGGAACAATTTAGATTAGACATGAGGAGGATGTCCTTCCTTGAAGATCTTGCCTAAAGAAGTGAGAGTAAGTCTAGTTACTGGCAGCTTGAGAGCTCTTCCAATCTTCCAACTGAATTTAATAAGTTTGGTTGATGAGTGGATATTAAGCAGTGGTGTGCTAGAGCTGACTCATCTGGGCTTGAGAGAGCTGATGTTTAGCATCTCTTCTCAACTCCCTGTGATCTCATGTTAATAGTTTGAAATTGGTGGTGGTAGGAGTATCTACACCAGGGAAACTGGTAAATCCCACAAATCATGGCTCCTTCCTCCAGAGCTGATTGTCAAACATTTACCAGCATAACCAGTGGTATTTAGTGAATATTCTATTGTTTTGAATAAAGTCTATGGTTCACATAGTCTCTGGCTTTCCTATTAATTCCAATTCCTATTAATTTCATATTCTAGAAAATCCAAGTATGGCACTATGTAGCAAATAGCTTCTCCAGTAATGACAGTTTCTTCAACATTGCTAAAGTGATTTTTAGAGAAAGAAAAGGATGATTAGAGGAAGAAGGAGAAAGAAATGTAAACTGAAAAAAAAGAGGTTGGGAAAAAAGCAAATCTGAATAGCAGTTGAAAAGTTTGGTTTAATCCTTATTTCAAGTTTTGATCCTAAATTTTCTTCTAAGCTGTTCTTGCCCCTCCTAGTGTTCCCCTGTTGATTCTGATAGAGGGCAGGGGTGGTATTTAGGGAGTCTTGTATTATCAGATCTGTCAGGTAGCTCACACTTTCACAGTGCTTTGTTTAGATTTCACCTATTCATTTATGACCCTGCAGGTGCTAGCTTATATCTATTTAATGTGGGAAAACTGGCCACTGCCCTCAATGAATATTTTACCATTATCATAAGAAATGTTCTCCAGTAATCCAGATGAGGCAACCTTGGTCTGTTCTCTGACATGTTCCTGTTCAAATATTCTCAAGGACCATTAAAAGAACTTGTAAGCTAAGTGGAAAGGTATCTCCTCTGAGTGTAGCCAGAGTTTTAATTTTTGCAGGCTTTGGGGATTTGGTTAATAATCTCTAGATTGTAAATATACTGAAGGAAAAAAGACGTCTTGTTACTCACCAATGTGTCATTTATATCCACTAACACAAAGCCTGGGTCTAGGTGATACTTACTATCAGTAGAATGGATGAATGTTTTCCACTGTACATATTCAGGATGCTCTGTATTGAAAGTTGATGATACACATTTCCCCTCCTTACATTTCAGAGCTTCAGGGTTGTCTATATTAATTCTTAACTAAAGTCTGATTTGCTAGTTAAGTAAATAGCCACACCAAGTGTTTAAATAGTCAGGTTTTTTCCTTTTTTTTGAAGATCGAATTCCCAGGTTAAAGTGTTAAAATTCCTTTGGTCTTAACTCTCCTATTTCTCTAACTGTGAAATTATAATAACCTATGTTTTTTAATGCTAACTTACCATCTTTATAAAAGTCACACATGTTTGTTAAAGTGAATTAGCATTAAATAATTCTGTTTTCAGGCTGTCATAATACAATGTAATATAGCTGAGAAATCCAGAAGGATTATCAAAACCAAGCCTGAGAATCACTGATGTATATGTAACCTCAGTCACTGTATTCATTGAATATCCCCATTATTATCAGTTTAGATGTCTTAAGTGTTGGGACTTGATAGCTGCTCATATTATAAACTAATATTATACTTGCACATTGCTTTATCTCTTTTTTTTCTACTATTAATCACCCAGATCCTTAATTGTGTTAGAGATCAGAAAACTGAATCACTGAGCAGATAAGATAAACTTGCTGATTGTCACACAGCAAGCTTTCAGAAAGGAATAATTAGAATTAAAGAGTTCCTCTCAATTTCCAGTCTATGGTTTGATCAACTGAATAAAACGTTTGCTAAAGGGTTTCCTACTGATGAAAAGTTAAATAAAGCTTTCAAACTTCTCTAGGTCAGAATTCAAGGGATTATTTTAGAAGACAGGGCAAACTTAAGCCCATCATAACAATGAGGGAGTTGTGCACAAATGTTCAAAGGGCCAGAGCTTTCCACCCTGTGCACTTGGACACTGAATGCGTATCAAGTGGCTGTGGGAAGATTAAAAGAGTTATCTGTGGTTGCTGAAAATGGAACAGCTAAAGCTGGATCTTTGATCTCTGGTTTGGGGACCTCCTATGCTTTGTTTCTTATCCTCTCCATTTTTGCCTTTCTTCCTTTCTTGTTAGTTCTGTGCACAGAGCTAGGTTGAGCCTCGGTAATACATATTCGATGGCTTTCTTTTCTGGGCAAGAATTTGGAATAGAATTGAAAGATTTTACTAAGGAAAATATTATAGTCAGAAAAGGTTATTTCAGGTTTTAAAATGCTCATGTAGGAAATTTAGAAATAATTGAAAGCTAAATGGAAAAAGGTCGTCTAGGTAAAATGTAACCAAGAAGAAGCTATAATGTGTGATAATGACTATAATGGGAATTTGGGAGGGAAGAGAAAGAGAGAGCTCTTAATTCTTAAAGGCGTCTTTTAAAAATAGGTCAAACCTATGAGAATGCCATTTTTGTAGGTCAGAAATAATTGACTATCAGCCATTTCAAACGGTTCACGCCAGTATCTATAGGATTCTAACAAATGTTTTTGGCTTTCCTGATTTTTATTTTTAAAAATGTTGAAAAGGTTTCTTTGCAAGTTGAATTGCTTTAGTCAGTTCAACTAGATTTCTGGAGTTGTCACCAACAATAGGAATCTCTAGAAAAATTAGCCTCTAGAGAAGACTGAGAGAAATTAACAAGAATTTCAGCAAATCTGTTGATAAGCATGCAACAAACAAAACATATTCCATCAGACAATTTTTCAGATGCCCTCTGATTTAATTCTCTGATGTTCCAGCCAGCCAAGGAATAGGAAAATTGATAGTCCTAAGTTTGCATAAGCACAAAGTATTCAGTTCATGTTTTAAAAAAAGCGCAACACTATGTCCTTCTTCATATCAGGTTCTCCTAGGACAGTTTTAGGGCTGTGGAAATAGTCCATGCTTGCATAAGGCTGCAGGTATTCTTCTCTGTATTTCCATCAGCCTAACCAGTTTGAACAAGGTGTGGTCTTGATTACCTAAAGAAACCTTAAGGTCATAAGCCTTTGTCTGATCAAGTCCTTCTTCTGATCATAGTAGGGAAAACTCATAAACTTGAGTGTCTGAATCCCAGATTTTCTTTTTAGCTAAGTGGAAATTCAGGATCAGAGAGGAAAATAGATAGGAAGAAAAGACTAAGACTGAGAAGAAACTTAATAGCCTCTGCTTATGTGAGAGGAAATCCTAGCTTAAGAAGAGCAGACAGGTGTTCATCTCAGCTGAGCCCAGAACGAGAGCCATTAAATTTACAGCATGAGGAACTTAACTTAGAACTGGGGGAATAGTTCATTATTCTTGTGTGTGTTGGAAATGATTTTGTTTTCCCAGGTGGAAAATAATAGGTAAGTAATTTTATGGTGTATAGGTGATTTGGGTCCAGCTCAGCCTGGACACTGGAGAATGGGTCAGATGACCTCTTATTGTCAGTCAAGGTGTTCCAGGAGAATTAGGGAATAAGACCTTGAGGTTACATTGCCTTTTTAGATGGTGAAGAAAGAACTATAGCATACCCCCTACACTCCTCAGATATAAGGTCTCTGTATATGCAGTATATATCCAGATACATATATTTTAAAAACTCACTTACTTGGAGTCCACAGTGGAAGGGATTTTACTGCTACTGTAATCAGGCTGTGATGGTAATATGGAGCTGAGGAAGCTGGCTGGGGACTGGTTATAAGTGGCTGTAACCCTTTGGCCTGGATTGGAGCCAGCAAGCTGCTGGGAAGAAGCAGGGAAAGCAGAGGAGGACATGGTGATATGAGAGCTCATTGTTGAGGAGGCAGAAAATCTTTGCTCTGTGCACTGGCGGGGCTGGATGATAATGGAAGACTGTTTGGTCTGGCTAGAGTAGCTGGAGGTTTCCGGTCCAGGAGGCTGCAGTCTGGAGCCACATGGGTTTTGGGATTGGATGAAGTGCTTTGGACGTTCGTAATTAAACATGCTTAGCTGGTGTACAGAAGAGGAAGGCAATTTATTACTATAGTGATTTGCTCCTGGAGGGGTGGGGTCCTGAATTTGGGGCTGCAAGCCTGGAATTACAGAAGGTCGCAAGGAATCAGAAGCAACCTTGGTCTGCCCCTCCTTGTTGAGATCCTGGGAATACTGTGCTCCTGGCTTTGATGGAGTGTCCTTCTCTTGAAGAATATTGTTCCTTCAAAAGGAGAAAATGATTCAGTTACAATATTTGCGTAAAAAGCAGTACTGTTTATTTAACATCTTTAGGAACTGATGTGCTTTTTTTTTTTTTTAATCTTATGTGCTTTCAAGGTCACCTTAAGGTGAAACTATCCTAGCTTGTAGACGTCCCCTTCCTTTATCTCTGTCTTTGCACAAATGGCTTAACCCCTACGAATAAGAAAAAAGTATTCATTGACGTTTGTTTGCCTCTGGGTGATTCTTAAAGCATGCCCAGGGGCTTCAAGATGTAGGAGCACAAAGTTTGAGTTTGCCAAGTGGTTATTTATGGAAAGAAATTGTATGATGTTGCTCAATGTGAGAATTTTATGGTCTTATGATTAACTTTTGCCCAGAGGCTACAGTTTCATTAACCACAGAAATTTAGTGACTTAAAATTACCAGCAGTTAAATGTATAACGTCAGCTTTCATTCAGTCCAAATTCTTCCCATTGCTCATCAAAACAGATCAACAGCTCTTCTGATACACCAGTTAATTCATGTCCTGGTGATTTGTGATGAATGACGTCTGGGTAAATCAAGGGAGCAATATGCTTCTTTTGTAAAGAACATTACTTTAATGTTCATATTTACTCCTTCACCCTTTCACAATTTCACAAAGTAGAGTGAACATCTATAATTCACTGTCAACTTTGGGTGGATTTTTTGCCTTAAAATTCAACGCCTCTTTTTCTCCCCTTGTGTCCAGATTGACCATAGTACCAAACTAGATGATAAAGAAATGTACTGTGTGTATGTCTCTCTGTGTGTATGTAATGTATGTTACTGATTGTATTCCAGAGCCATTTGTAAATTTTTTCGGTTATTTTTAGATTATACTATCTAGTTATTGTTCTGGATATTCTAATTATTTATAGAGTTTTACTTTTTTATTATTTTTACCTGTTTAATATGTATTTTAGACTAATCTTAAAATTCTTTCAGCTCTTCTCTTACTTTTTCTTGTGCAATAGCAAAATGTACAGAAGGAAGTAAGGCAACTACGAAGCTAGTCTGTACCTTACCAAGAAAGAGTGACTGCTATTTCTCGTACGTATCTCTGCATTGGTGCTCTTGACTTCCTACAGTAGATTCTCATTTTTCCTTAGATGAATCATTTGCCACAAAAATCAACCTTGAAGGATTTTATTTGCCGCTGATTTCTTCCATTAGTATGATAAATCTAAGCAGGGCTACATTCAGACATTATACACCAAGACTAGCCCTACAAATTGTGGTAGCATTAATTTCATCTTTACTCAAAATATCAGGTAATTTAGTTAAAAATACATTTAGTTTGTTTCACATAGTAGAAACCAACACTGAAATAATGATAAATCAGACTTTTAACTGGTAAAATTAACCAAATTGTTTGTCATCATTGAAACAAAGTCTTATAATTATTTAATTTCCTATCTTGAACAAAGTATCATTTTTAATGACAATTTTCCAGACCAAACAACTTCAACCTAAGGTTGTGCATGTGGTTTAGAGCTAAATTAAAACTAGAAGTCTTAGGAAAGAACAAAAATGCAATTAAACAGCCAAGAGAAAGACTCTATTGAAAAAGAACACTTAAAAAGTCATATATTCCTTAATTTCAAGTTTATGAACACAAGCACTTTCAGCTACAGTGTATTTTAGTAATTAACTATATTAAGCCTTTAAGTTGTTGGGGAAAAACATCCTGAAGGAGGCTTTAATTAGATCTTCTCAAAAAAAGACTCTATTTCAAGGCAAGTAGTTTTGTAGTTATGGGTTTATTCATTCAATCGCAGAATTAAATCCAGAGTTTGGTTCCTAAATTCCTTTGCGGGCAGGCATATTATTCAGATTCATTTCAAATAGCAAGGAATAAACTATAACAAATAGCCAGTGGATATTTTCCAAAAAGTTCCTTATTTTTCTTTACATATATTTTTAGAATTCAACTGTCTTGTACATTTTGGTACTGGCTCACATAGTTAACAATTACTGTTATTTTTTAAAGCTCAATTAAAAATATCTTCTTTCAAAAGATTCATTTTATTCATGTCTACATATAATTTTATACAGATGTTGACACAGGTAACTCTGAAAGGCTTTTCTTCATGTTTGTAGTTACCGTTCAACAATTCAATTCTGTAATAGATTCTATTACATGACGGTATCATTTTATTCTAAATAATGTTAAACAAATTTCAAAGACTTTATAAATAAGATACTTTTCAGTCTCTTATTTTAACAATCTTAACATTATTTTTCTATCTCTTATATAGCACAGACTTACACAAAAGATTGATTGAGGGTATTTTGAAGCTGTAGGATATTACCACAATTACAGCCAGACCAAGTGTCCCTTTTCAAGGAAAAATGATGATTTAAAAATAATGACATGCACCTATCTTTCCTTCTACTCTTTCTATAATGCCTTCTAGTTTCAGTGGAATGAATAAGTTACTTTCTGTTCGAATCTTTGCATAATACCATTATGATATTGTGGCTTTCAAACTTTTTATCTGAAGATCATTTTTGCACACACTTCTCTGATTTGGACAAAAACAAAAACAAAAACAAAACTCAAAACTGTAGCAGGAATAAAGAAGGGACTTACCCGTAGTTCCAGAGGGTGCCAGCTGGGTTTAGCCCACTATTGAAGAGAAGGAAGAGGCACCCCCTTCCCTCACCGACTAATCTAGTGGCTCTGTGCTTAGTATTATAGCACCACTGACTTTTATCAGCTGCCAAACAGTGACATCTGATGTGCTTGCCTGTTCATCTACCTATGCCGGCGTGTCAAAGTAAGAGTCCACAATCTAAACAATATCTCAGATGTCTTAGCGATATTTAAGGCGTGGGATTACATGAGCTTCTCTTGCAAGCCTCCTTATTCTAGTTGTAAATTTTGACTATGAGCTTTAGCAGTTTCATGTAAGGGGAAGAACAATGAATTGGGAAATGGGAAAAAGTATAAAGAAAACTCAATTTCTTTATTGTGGTGGGGGCTTGAATCTTTTCTGTTGAAGAAAGAAGGACTAAAAGGGAAATAGTATTCTAGGACTGGCATTTTATCTAGTAAGACATCTCGAGAAATAAGCCCAGTGATGGATGGGCTCCAAATTGAGTTGCATTGGATAGTTGTTCATCTGAAGGTTTTTTTTTCTCTTTCCAAATGGGAGTGAGAGCGGAGTGGGGTTCAAGCAGTTTGTTTCAAGAGAGGGGGTGTGGTCTGGGTGGAGGCAGGAGAGCAGAGTGATGGTAACTGTTACTGGGAAGATGGGGAGGTGGAAAAACATGATTTGTTTTTTAGCAAGTTTTCTAAATCTGCATGGCCTATGCCTCCTTGACCTTTTACTTTTATTTCAAAGGAGTTTTGAAACACTTAAGAAACTATCAAACAAATAAACAGCATATACAATTGGGGCTCTGTACTGTCACCTCTCTTTCCTTCATCTCCCTTACTTCTAACAGTTATACAGTTATCTTCCTTTTTTCACCAAGGAGACTCTCTTGGCATTTAGGTTTCCATTTTTATGCAGGGATGTAAATAATTACAGAGGAAGAAACCTTCAAATCAACAAAAGAGGTGGTGGAGAGGGGTAGGTGGCATGAAGATCAGGCCAATAGAGAGGAATTATCCCCATTTAGTGGCTTCAATTTTAGTATGGTTCTATTGTTTAAAGCATATTTATTCCCCTCCCTCATGATACTGCAGTCTTGATTTAATTACGATGTACATTAGGGCCCAAAAAATACATATTTGAGTACATATGAGTCATATAAAATTCTTCCCAGCTGACCATGTAGTGGTACCTTCCTTTGGTGTTCAGAGAAAGTCGGATAATCACTGCCTGGGCACACAGCCATTACTTAGTAGAAAAAGCATACTAGACTTGATGAGTAGGTGTTTGCCTACACAGTCTCATTTCAGGAATCTCCCAAAATATTTCTCCACATCTGCTCACTGATATTTCAGGTTCCATTAATAGGGACAATGCCTTTCAATCCAAATTAGAGAGACTTAAAATGTAAATGCAAGTGACATAATACAAATAATAAGAATGGCCAACACGTAAAGCATTTACTATGACTAATGCACTATTCTAAGCACTTGAAATGTGGAATATGTGACTGATATTTGGTTCGTCCCAAGAACAGGGTTTGATTTGGGCAAGGAAGAGGAGATCCTAGATTTGAGGTCTCTTAGTACCTAGAAGTTTGAGATATACCATGCTGATCAAGTAGGGAAGATGCCCACGACAAACTAGTAAATACTCGGTTTTGTCTAGGGCAGGTTCTAACCATACTACAGTTGAGGAAGAATTGTAGTTTCATTTCCTCTTTATCCTTTAAGCGTAGCCTCTTTTTTTCCTTAGGTCTTTGTAAGATATAACATCAGTTACAGTGTGATATCTCCATGGTACCTCTAAGCTAAGCTTCTCCCTACAATAAGGGCATCAAGGGATGATTTAGGAAAAATAAGTTAGTCCTCTTTTATGACACCATTCTCAGAAGTTAAGGGTCTATATTTAATAATCTATTAGGAACCTGTTTTTCTCCTTTTTCTTTCTTTCTTTCTTTCTTTCTTTTTTTTTTTGCTGAAGAAGATTTGCCCTGAGCTAACATCTGTGCCAATCTTCCTCTATTTTGTACGTGGGTCACTGCCACAGCATCGCTGACGATAGGTGGCGTAGATCTGCGCCTGGGAACTGAACCCAGGCCACCAAAGTGGAGTGCACCAAACTTAACCAATAGGGCATGGGGCTGGCCCCTGTTTTTCTACTTTTTAATGTTTGGTTGCTTTTTCGAATGGTGTTTTATGTTTCCTCAAAAATATAGCTATTTGAATGGTTTAATTGCTTATTTGAGAAAAATCATCCTAAAACTGAAAGAATCATTAAGATGTCAAGTGGGTGAACCATACTCCAACCTGCCCCCAAAGATAACTTTTTCCATTGTTTTCTCTAAATTATCAGTAAGGGCTCTCTGGTAAATCATTTTAATGCCTCACAAAGTATAGGTATCTTCCTGCTATCTCACTGAAACATTTTCTGCTACATGAAAGGAATCCCTTCTTGTCCCTTCATCAGTGGAAGGATAGCTATTTAACTGTCACTCATTCATTTCTTCTTCATATGTAGCCCCTGTTGTTTTTTAAAATGTAAACTATTTATGCTATTATAGAAATGGTGCTCTGAGCTTCTTCAAAAGTCAGAGGTCAAATGTGTGTGATGAAACTAATTTCTGCTATATCAACTGAGAAGGAACATGTCATATTGAGTATGAAAGCACTAAAAAGTGAAGAATGTTTTATTTATTTTTAAGTTATTCATAATTCACTATGATTACTGAAATTCTGCATAGACTTATCGTGAAAAGGAATCCCACTGTAGCATTTGTAATTTGAAATATCCATTCTAGCACTTGACTCAATCTTACATTCTTCTCCAGCAAGGAATAATAATGGCCACTCTACTGGGTTTGGAGTCAAACAGTAAAAATGATAACATTTATTTGGTTAACATTCTACAACTTTCTGGATGCATTAACCTTTTTATTATATATTTTGGAGACCTGAGTGTACATGCCCACTCTATCACATCCTTGCTGTGTAGGCTTAGACAAGTTGCTTAAACTCTCTGAGCTATAATAATTAGCTGAAAAACAAAGATAGTACCCGTTTTACTAACTTAAATCAGAGGGTTACTAAGAGACTCAAATGAAACAGGAAATTGTAGAATGAACTATTATGTGATATGATACATCTCCTCAACTAGGCTGAATTTTTTTCTGAGTGAGGGACTGTTTATTATTTTTCTTGCTTAGGACAATGTAGCTCATAGTAGTATAACCCAATAATTTTCCCTACAGATGACTTTATCAATGAAAAAGATGGTAATCTCCTATGGAAGACACTGTATTATAAATTCAAGTTCCTCTTAAGTCCTAAAGACTCACTGCTAAACGCAGGTACTCATGGAGAAAAGTTTTAGTTATAAATATTGGCCATCTTCCCAAGGTAAGTCCAGCACAGAAACTGACAAACACATAGAATATGCTTAATACATAAATGTTTGTTGAATAAATTGCAGCCTTATCTATTGTCCCACACAGCCATTCTTCCTGGACCCCATGAGGAATTGTTACTTATAGGGGTAGCTACTGCCCAGGCAATTAGAGATCCCAGAAGCTAAAGAGGTTCCAGGAGACCAACTAAGAAATTAGTCATAGGCTCTTGTTGGAGGTATACTTATCCTGATTAAAAAAAAAAACAATTCAGTGAAGTAATAGCTACTATTTATTGAATTCCTACTATGTACTTCACATACATTGTTTTAGGTCTGTTAGTTTCCAAGTCCAAACTCTTTCCCTCACTGTCTTCATTGCAAGAAACTCCTGGAGAAATACATATCCCAAGGTCAGGGAAGCGTGAGGAACCAGCTCAACACTAAGAGCCAATCATCTACAGTCCTTATTATTTGTAGAAAGAGGAGCTTCACATGGGTGACCTCTGATTTCTTCCATCTTTAACATGATATATTTCCTTCACTTAAAAGATCCAAATACTGCTTTAGAAATCTCGTCTTAAAAGAGATTCCAATATCTTTTTATTTTGTAATTAACAGAGGCTATATTTATACTAGCTACATTATACTAACAGAGGCTACAAGAAGACTGATATATTAAGTTTTGTTAAAGGTGTTAAACATAAATTTAACCTAAAGGTAACTTTAGGCTGGTAAAATATTTAGGGGACTATGTTAGAGATTAACACAAAAAAATTTTAAGTGACTTTTAAGTATCAATTTTTAGGTTGTATTTTAATCAATATTTTTGTTTGAAGTTTGTGTTTAGAGGGTGAGAATGGTGGTGGATTGTGTTGTTTTAAACATAGCCTGGTTGACAAATTCACTTACTGTAATATCTTTCCTTTTATATATATTTGTCTTCTAAACAGAAGGACGATTCTGTCTGTATTCTAAGACTGACCATGAAGAAATCTATCACAAAATGTTTTGTATATTTGTATTGAGATAGGACACTGAATCCTATTTTGGGAAAAGATTCCACTCTTTTAAAATCTTGTGCAATTTCCGCATGTTGATTTCTTTCTTTTCTTTTCTTTTTTTTTAGTAAGTCTCCTTAAATGTGGATCTAAGCACCTGATGTACTATTTCGGCCATGGTGAAATGCATGATGGAGGCAAAGGAGAAATGACAGAGTTAAAGTGACTCATTTCAGAATGTAAGCTCTCTGAGGGCAGGGGCTTTGTCATGTTCACTGTTCTATCTACAGAACCAAGAACATTTGTTGAATGAGGGAATGTTAGGTCTCTCTGCCCTTACCATTGTGGTTGTAGCTCAGAGGAATTTTCACTGATGGTGTAGAAATCCTCCTTTGGAGCCTGGATCTCATGTTCGGTGTGACTGGCTGGTTCCGGAATTGTTGGCATAAGGTTTATTGGGGTATTGTCTGGACTTTTGTCCTTTGTGTAGCTGTCACTTCTCCAGGGAAAGGAGGCCAGTTTTGGAGAAAATTTCCACGTGGGTAACTTTGGAGAAATCTCTGATTTCTCCACTTCTTTTCCTGCTGAAAAATATAATTAGTGATCAGTTCAGGTAGAAACAGAATCTTCCTCTTGGCTCAGGGTTGAATTGGAGCAGGGAGATCCTGAAGAGTAATTACCTGGGGAAACAAAGAGTCTCGCTGTGGAGACCGCAGTCCCAGCCTCGTTTTCTGCAATACACTGGAATTCCCCAGAGTCTTTAGGAAATGCTTCTGTGATAATCAAGGTACAGACTTCCTCTAGAAAAGAAAGAGATTCGACTTGAGCAGAGTATTTGGTTGCCCCAAATTAACAAACAAAGAGTGTGGGAGGGTGTCAGGGAGAGTGGGTACCAGAAATAAATAGAGTGTTCCTGAGATATTAAAAAAATCGATCTGATCAGATTTTTTTGTCTTTGAGTGGGCTTGTGAAGACAATCTTAAAAATATAACCTAAAACAATCCCAGCATAGTCCCTGTCACCTGCCTCTCAGACATGTCTGTTTTCTCTGTTAGCCTGTGAATTCCTTGAAAGCAGGGATTACACTTTACTCCTTGACTTCTAGATTTCTGTAGCTTTAGTGCTTAGCATAAAGGTCCTATAGAAGGGTTTTCTGAACTGATCTAAAAATTATCATTGCCATGGTAGTTAGACCCAATGTTAGTACAGTGGTAGCTGTCGTGTGATGGGCACCACACCTACCTCTTGAACAGTCAACAGTTTGGATGTTTGATGTCAGGACACCTCCTTACTACCTCTGTGTATAGTTCATAAGTCAAAAATACTATGCCAAGTGGAAACAGAGGAAGAATGCATGCTCTATGAGGGCAGGGACATAGTCTGTACTGAGTAAATATATGTTGAGTGAACGAATAGATGAATAAATACACTGATCAATCCCAGTTATCTTGCTTTTGCTGTTGTGTCAGTTCAAGAGTTGGCATAAGGTAGCCTTGGAACTACCTATGAAGGCAAAAGTGATTTAGGAGACAAAGTCTTCTCATGCTAATTTTGATTTAATCATTTATTATCAAGATGTTGAAAAATTGTGCTTACCGGGGATGGATGATAAACAAGTTTCTGAAAGATAAAACCAGAGAATAGAGAGAGAATTTAAATAATGACAGTTAATTTAATTGGGAGAAGGAGCCGTACGTATATGAGAAATAACTTGAAGCAAATACAAGGTTGGCCGTAAGCTGGAGTCACAGACCATAAATTCTGTAGAAACTCAGGAAAGGGGCATAATGGAATGAACACTTGGCAGGATGCTAGAAGAACTGTATTTTAGTCCTGTTCTACTACTGAATTGCTCTGTGACTTTGTGAAAATTGCTTTACTTCCCTGGGCCTTAGTTCTTCATCTCTAATATGAAGGTAAGACCAGATAATATCTCTCCTCTGAATGTGAACCACTGCTGAAACACTAGGCCTGAGGCGGCCTCTTTTTCCTGAGAAAATCCTTTTCTTTTAATCTCTCTAATTAATGTAAAGTTGAATATTACATTATAAAAATATTGTAGTATTACTGTAGAAAAATACATGAAAGGTTAATAATAGTTTTCTCTGGGTGATGAGACTGTAAGTTTAAATTTCTTCTTTATGTTATTATATATTTTCTAGATTCATTATAATAAATTTGTATTACTTTAGTTTCAGAAAATGCAATATGTTATTTTTAAAAGAAACACCATATTGTGTAATAGAGATGTTTCTTCCTAAATGTGATGTGCAAATGTTCACATTAATTATTATTTAAATTTTAATGAATTTATAGTCAATAGATATTTAAATTAATTTAAATTAATATTTAAATAAAAATTTTCTTGGTGCAAGAACTATCTTGGACTTGAACCCTGGCTGCAGCATTTACTAGCTTTGTGACCCAGCATTTCTGATTTCAGTTTTCTTACTTATAAAATGGAGGTTGTAAAACACACCTCAAAATGTTGATGTGAGAATTAAAGGAGAAATTTTTTTAGGAAATATAAACTCTGTTTAGCATGAAGTATATCATCATACTTGTTACCCCTAAATTAATTCAATATTTAAAAAGTTATGCATCTGTTTTCATTTGTTTTACTCTTTAAAAAATACGTTTATTCTCATTTTTTTCTTGTTTGTATGCCAAGGACTCATTAGGAAGATAGTTAAGATAAATTTATGAAATTAAACCATTATGAAAATAAACGGTTATTAAAACTATTGTTTCATCAAAACAAAATAGCTATCTTTCTTTTTTTTTAGGAATTGTTTGGATTTGAAATAACAATTGTTTAACGTTAGAGATTTCTGAGCCTGTAACAAATCAGCTATGAAACTTTAAAACATGAATTAGATTTCAAGATTAATTGGAATAAAAGGCAAATTGAAAAACTTATCACGATACTTTTCCTCAGAATCCGGAAGTCATCTGAGTCTGCTATCTCCTCTTTCTCTCTGTACCAGTGAACTTGAACTGCGGCTGTGGCCTGGACTCGGCATTCAAATATGACAAATTGACCTCTGGTTGTAGAGATGTCTTGAAGATGCTGAAAAACAAACACAGAATTATGGAATGGAAGAAACTGTTTTACCATATGCAATGATTTGGGATGCCAGTTGCAGTACGTGTGCAGGCTTTTTTTTATCATAATTATTGATTACCGACTGTACCTTAATCAAAATGAGGAGCTGCTGGGCGTTCTTTTGTGCTTTATAGTGTGCTTTACAGTCAGGTATAGGTTATTTTTATCTTAACTTCATAGAGTTGTTTTTAATGAGAAACTTGTTATTCACTTCCCCAAGAGCCATTTTTCAAAATGGAAAACAGGTGAGTGGAGAAGTCTTCAGTTTGTTGTGTTAGATTATTTTGTTGAGTACATACCTAGTCACAGATTTAGTCTTTACTGTTGGTCACAGGAGCATGGGCAGCATTGTAATTTGTTAAGGGCTCTGAATCATGACTTAGAGGACATGGGCCCAAATCTCAACACTGTGACCAGCTAGTTGAAGCTGATCACAGGACTCGGAAAAGACTCTTAACCTCTGTGGAACTCAGGTTCTTGATCTGTGAAATAGGGCTAGCAAAAAGCCCAGCCTACTCTGAGGGTTCAAGGCTCGTTTCAGATAAACAATCTGAAAACTTTTCTTAAAGAATGAAGAGTTATATTGATATACAAAAAATGTTTATTAACAATAGCTAGTTTAGTCTCACAATGCATAAATGAAGGGGTGGCGATTGTGGTAAATTTCCCCCTTAAATCCTGATTACCCGCCCCCCACCCCCACCCCGGGGTCGATAATGTCTACAATTTATCTATAAAGTCAAACTCCATCGTGTAGTAAAGGATAGGTTACCTTGGTAAACACAGGGGCTGCAGTGCAAGTGGATCCTGACAGGCTGCTGCAGGGACTCTGCATCTGATTTAAGAAATAGAAGAGACACTGTCATCCATATTGTCAAGGCCCTAAAACCTAGGTGCGTGATGGCTATGGACTAACTGGATCAGTTTTAGGCGCTACTAACTAGTTCAGTTTTAGCTGCTACCAAACACACCCTAAGTTTCCTTTTTTGAAAAGGATGATGTTTCTAATTGAAATGTCAGTTTGGATGTCTGCTCCAATGCCACCCTTTTTTCTCTCATCTTCAGCATTCCATCAGCCAAGATGGTGAAATACAACTTTGGGCAGTTATGTTTGAGAAATGAGTATTGGCAATTATTTAGAGATTATATATTACAGATTTAAATAACTTCTAAATTTTACTGACTAGATTTTTTTTCCTCTTCCATACAGCTGTGCTTGTTGGATCTTTTAGGTTTTTGAGAAAGCACCCCCCCCGCCCCCCACTTTTTTTAATTAAAGAGGAATTCACTTCTTGGATAGTTGGGATACTCTTGTTATGGGTCTGAGCTCGTAGACACCAACTGTCCCTTATGGTCTGGCACACAGACAAATGGCCAACCCACAGGACTGCCATGAAGTTATTTCTGAGACCCATGGATTTCATTCTTGCTCTTTCTGAGGTCATGCAGCTGGAGGCTCTCCTCACATACACTTTTCAAGAAAGTTGCATTGATTCCTTCTTCTCTGGGCCTGTGTCTCCCTTACCCGGACCCCTCAGAAGGCATAAAACTGAACCTACCCTCTGGGGGTCAATACACAATGGTTGAACTAAGGTAGAATAACTTGATCTGATGTTGGAGGTTTCATTAACTGGGGAACTGATGGTCAGAGAAACTCTAGTGGTTTTCTTCTTTATCCTGTGGGGAAAACAAAACCAAATACAATCCAGTGAAAGAAAGATTAAAGGTGGCTTTGATAGAAATACCTCACTGTATACATTTGAATGTATCACATTTTTTACCTATGATCCTTAATTTTCTCTTGATTTGCATAATAATTTTAGTTTCTTTTCTTTTTGGCCAATTATTAGTGGATTATGGCTCCTAATAGTTTCACTTTAAATTTCCTTTGTCTTAGTTCGATAGTTCGTGGGCTGTTACTAAACTTAAATTGTCCAGAAGAAATAACTTATAAGGGAAATAACCACTTCGAAATTTGTCTTGGAAGTTTTAGGTGTTTTTTGGGTCTTTTTTGTAAAGTGGAATCCCTCCTATATTCTTATGCAACAAATGCACATTCACTTCATATTCTATACTTACTCTGACATTTTTGTAGCATATTCCAAGCACAATCCTAGAGACAAAACTTTTTCTTACTTCCTTGGGTACCTGTAAGAAAGAGAAAACAGAAAATCTGTCTAAATCTCATTGGAATTTAGTAAAATTTAGTTCAAGCGTACTGTATTCACACTAGAACCAGCAAATTAGTTACAGACAGCAGGTCAGTCTAGAACATCTGAATTCTCTCTCTCTCTCTCTCTTTTATGGCTGAGGAAGATTTGCCCTGAGCTAACATCTGTGCCAATCTTCCTTTCTTTTGTATGTGGATCGCTGCCACAGCATGGCTGACAAGCAGTGTAGGTCCGTGCACTGGATCTGAATCTCTGAACCCAGGCTGCCAAAGTGGAGTGTGCCAAACTTTAACCACTACACCATGGAGCCAGCCCCATCTGAATTCTTGACTAAGGATGGAACTACTTTAATGTTCTCAGTTTAAAATATCCAGATGTTCACTTTTACAGAGCTATAGGACTTGTGCCCAGAAGAGGTACTAGGTCTTTTCCCAAAAGCATCATTTCAGAGGGCGTATATTGGTGTCTGTGAATTTGCATTTTGGTCTGACGTCTTCAGCATATTTGTTATAATAAGAAATCCATTGAAACACATTGCTGTCTTTGCTATAAGGAAGGATGTTGTCAATGTGCATATTATCTCTATGAATACTGAGTAGAGAAATATATCTCAGTTCTTAGTATCAGGAATAATTAGGCTTCTCCTATGCTACTAGTTTAGTTTTTCCTCATAGATACTGTGAATCTTACTGTTGGTTTTATTTCCTTCTGTATTAGTGACTTGAAAATTTAGAGCTAACTTCATAACCAATAATTCAACAGAGATTAGAGCCAGGGTCTCCTAAACTTGTAACCTGAAACTTTTTTTTCACTATATCTATGATGACTTATTTACCCAAAACCAACATTTAGATCACATGACCCCACAAAGAACTTTTTTGTTATTTCCAGATAGAAGAGGCAGATGGAAGATGTAGACTAGCCTGAATAACAAAATACTGTAATTTCCAGAAAGCCTTTGTTTTATGGAAATAGAATATTAGAAATTATAACTATTCCCCCCAAATCAAGGCTATAATGCTGTAATGAAAAATTTAGTTTTATATGCTACAATGCGTTAATGAAAAAAATTAGTTTCCACTTAAAAGTCTTTTACACATAATGTTTGATACCATCACTAGGACTAGATTTATCTAATCTCTTTCAATCTCAATATATAATCCTGTCATACTTGGTGCCTTTTTTCAGTCTTTAAAAACTCCTTTATCATCTTGGAGTTTTAAAACCATATTAGGCTTAATTTGCTTTAGACTAAAATTTAGGTGATGTGAAAGATTTACTATTTCATGTTTCATTTCTTAATGTGGATAGTGGCTACAGAGTATACATTTTATTATTATTTAAACCGTATATATAGATTATATTTACTCCTTTCTATGTGTATAGTATTTTATAATAAATGTGTAAGGTTAAAATAAATCTGTGAACTGGAACTACCTTTTTTTTTTAAGGGTTAGTTGGTTGGTTTTTCATTTTTCACAGAACAGATAGAATTATTCATTGGTAGTCCGGAAGAAGATAGGTTCAGTTCCATGAGTGTATGTGCACTAAAGGGGTTGCAGATGTGCACAGATTACCTTTCTGCCAAAATTGGGCACAAACAGAGTCTATACCTACAGACTCTCTAATTGGGGTAGAGTCAAACCTTGAAGTATTGGCTGTATTTACTTGACTTGGATCATTTTTGTAATGAATGAAAACTTCACAAACACTCAAATTCTTGAATTGGTGAATACTTCCTGATGTTTCCTATGCCAAGACCCTAGGAGCAACACAAAGGAGTTTGGTGTTAGCTGACACAATGAAACTAGATGAAAAGCTCAATAATTCAAAACATGCATAATAATAATAATAATAGAGATACCATCTTAAAATGCCATAAGACATCAGAAACAATAGTTCTAAGACATTAAATAGTGCCAGTGATGTCACAAGACAGCACATGATTACCCCATAGACTGTTAGAAGTAAATGATATGATTTCAAAGGAGACAGAAGCTTGACTGATCTAGGAAAATTTCCTGCCCAGGGTGGAGCTTCAACTGAACTTTAAAGAATGTTGAAATTGGAAAAAATGAGGTGTGTATGTGTGTGAGTTGGGTATGGGGGTTTGGGGGAAAAGTCGGGGGATGAATAGAAAAGGGAAGTCAGTAACATTTATGGAACATTAAACTGCATGCCAGATACCATGCTTATCCTTTTATCTCATGTGTGAGGAAAGCATTCCATAACCATGCAATGGTGTGGAACGCTCTGGGATCAGATTGCCTGGATTCACCATTTGTTAGGTATATTAGGCTTCCCTCTAAGCCTCAGGTTCCCTATCTGTAAAACAAGTGCAATAATACTGTTTATTTCTAGGGATTTTTCTTTTTTTGATGAGGAATATTGTTTCTGAGCTAACATCTGTGCCAATCTTCCTCTATTTTGCATGTGGGACACCACCACAGCAGCCTTCATGAGTGGTGTGTAGGTCTGTGCCCGAGATCTGAACCTGCAAACCCTGGATTGCTGAAGCGGAGCATGCGAACTTAACCACTATGCCACTGGGCCAGCCCCGCTAGGATTGTTTTGAGAATTAAACAAGATAGCCCACAAAAACACTTAATTCATACGTGCCGCATATCAAGCACTCAATAAATGTTAGCTGCTATTATTATTGTGATGTTGGTTGTTATATGTAGATCCAGGTGATGTTCCACCTTTCCTCAGAGGATTCTAATCTAGCCCTCCTTGATTTTCTTCTCTTGTGAATTTACAACCTCTATAATATGCTTTTGTTTTTAATTATTTATTACCATGTACTTTCATTTGGAAGCTCCTTAAGATTAGGGATCTTTTCATATGTCTTCCATCCCCAAAGTATCTAGCCCAGTGTCAAACACAAAGTAGGCATGGAGTTGATTGATTTTATAGGTTATTGCTTAGGGAGATGCTATTCATAGTTGTCCTAGGAGGTGTGCATTGCTTTGTGCTGTTTCCTTCCACCCCATCCTACAAATAAAAGCAATGGATATAGAAAGATTCCTCCTCTTTTGACCTTGGCAGTGAGTCCTTATTCCACACCAGCCATCTTAGGTGGAGTTAACCAATCACAGAATTGCAGACCAAGAGAAGACGTGGGAAATTTTATCTTACATCTTTGGAGAAGAAAACTAAGGATCAGAGAGGTTATATTATTTTCTCAAGGTCATGCAGTCTGTTGGTAGAAGAGTCAGGATTAGAATCCAAATCTCCTGTCTTCTAGTACAATTCATGTAAGCCTCTAGCAAATGGACTCTGTATTATCAGATAAGTTTAAAACTACAGCTATTGGTCTGAGTAGTTGATACTGTAGTGTAGATAGAGTGTATTTGTGGTTCTGAATTCACTGGGTAATGGAACAGTCCTTTTACTTTGTATGTGAGCTCCATGAGGGCAGGGACTTAGTCTGTTTTGTTCACTCTTGTATCACTAGTGCCTAGGAGGGTGGCAGGCACATAGGAGATGCTAAATAAGTATTAGTTGAATGAATGAATTTGCTTTGTGACCAATATTGGCTGAGACCTCAGTTGAGAATGTTTGTGGCTTCTAGAGATTCTAAAAGTTAAGTATCAGACCCTGGAGAGAAACCTTATAAACAGCAGGGAAACTCTGACTGTGGCAGGAAGATAAAAATGAAATGCTTCCCCCCATGGGAAGAGAAGGATTAAGTGAGAGATTGTGTATGAAACTTGTGGAATGACTTGGAAGAAACATGTCTTATAAATAAATATAAGGTCAGTTGGTTCAAGAGGCTAGAATTTCCTCTAAGCCCCTTGGCACATCTCAAAGGAGAAGCTAGAAAACATCAGCAGAATAGTTTTTGTGGTGAATGGGCCTCAGGTTTTTGCCCACCTTGAAACTGTCCCATATCCCAGGCTTATGAGAACAACAAAAAAAAAGAAAATCCAATCCTTATAAAGGGAAGGTCATACTGGCCTCTTCACATTCCAGATGCTTCCTGTTCTAAGCATGAACAATGCTATCGTTGTTCCCATGCTATCATTAATCCATGAAGTGACGAGGCCAGGCAGTTCTTCCCATCTGCTGTCCCTCATCTTCTAACCAATGAAAGAAGACAGTGATAACTAATGGAACCAAAAGATGCCCTGAATTTTACTTTGGGATATGCCACTCGTTAGCATGAGTTAAGCAATCTATGTCCAAAGATCGTATAGATATGGATAAAAATAGAGAGAAAGGCCAGGTAGTGTGGGAGAGAGAGCACAAATTTAGGATTGAGGAAATCTGGATTTTGGTTCTCGATCTGTCATTAATCAGTTATTTGACCTTGGGCAAGACCCTTTGGGGGTCTCAGTTTTCTCATATCTAATGAGAAGTGAGAAGTGAGATGGTCCCTAAGATTTCTTCTAGATCTATTTTCTCTTTTAAAATATTTTTCAAATTTCAGGGTGTGATCACGCTTTAAAAATCTCTGATTTTCATAATTACCAGAATAGATGAAATTCTATCAGAAGATAAGAGAAAGAAAGATGAACACTGGCACTAAAAGCAAAAGCAGTCAGCACTTAGGGCTGTGGCTTAGACTGCTGCTCTGGAATGCAGAGGTTTGAAAGATGAGCTGAGCTTTAGAAGTAAAACGGTTTAAAATGTTATTTATTTATGAAAATAAATCTTTCAGAACTCATTTAGGTAAGTGATAAAACAAAACCAGACATGAGAACTAGCCTCCCCTTTCCAGAAAAGAAATAATTTCTAAAAGGAAGCTCCCTCTTAAGTATTGACTTCTCTTGCTAAAGCTGCTGTAGTCTTTACATTTGATTCTCATGTATTTTCCTTTAGGGGATAGAAAAGATTTTCCAAAGAAAAACCCCTTTTGCTCTATTGCTATGGAATAATACCACACTCTAGAGTATCAAAATGAGAATGTGGATTCAGAGTGTGTATGAGCCATATATGTGACCTGTCCTGAAGTGTTCCTTCTTGATTTTAGGTAGCACTGGGGATGTCCTTGAGAGAAAAAATAGCTAGAGGTTTTACTCTGGTGATGAGTTATGCTAGCAGGCTTCGTGTCTCACGTAAATGGTAACCTTTGCTGAGTGTAACCCTAGCTCTTTGTAAAGAGAACAGAATTAGACTCCACCAAATGAAGAGTCCAAGACCTTGGCAATCTTACCCTGGAAAGATGGCAAGATACATAGAGATCAGACAAATGAACAATGATGATG